TCTATCTATCTATCTATCTATCTATCTATCTATCTATCTATCCCCACACACCCCATCTATCTATCTATCCCCACACACCCCATCTATCCATCTATCTATCTATCTATCTATCTATCTATCTATCTATCTATCTATCTATCTATCTATCTATCTATCCCCACACACCCCATCTATCTATCTATCCCCACACACCCCATCTATCCATCTATCTATCTATCCACACACCCCTCTATCTATCTATCTATCTATCTATCTATCTATCTATCTATCCCCACACCCCCGCTATCTCTCTTCTGACAGTGCACACACTCCCTGGCTAGCTGTCTCTCAGTTTTGAAAGGAAAATGCAGGCAGAACACTGCGTCTCTGCCTGTGCCCATGTGAACCTGGAGTAAAACATTTTCCTTCCACGGCATGGCCTTCGCCCGACTCAGACTGGACTCGGAGCCGGGGCCTGGCATGCTGGTCTCCGCTCGGTTCCAGCGGGCTGGCGAAATGCTGCCCATGCAGAGCAGGGGGACCTGCAGCAGAGCTGATCCCTGGCACCGACCAGAGCCTGGAACAGCCGCGGACTCACCTTGGCAGCCAGCCGGGTGCCGGCGTGTGCCAGGGCCAGGGGAGTCGGCCTATTTCACTGGCCTGCGGAGCCTCGTGGGATGCATCCTTCAGGCCTCCTGGGCTTCATTAGGGAGCCAGTGAAGGTAAATTCTAGTCTGTGTCCTGGTTCTCACACTGCCCCCCTCAGCTGCCCCACCCTACCCGGGGGCAGCACAGGAAGGGGTCGCATCTCCCATGAGCCTCCCCAGGTATGTGTGGCCACTAGCCCTATCCCAGAGACCACTAGGCAAAGTCTGCTGTCTATCCCCCTCATCCCTGCTGAGATGGCCCATGTGCCAGTCCCTCTGGGTCGCCTCTGGGTGTGTGCTTATCGGCATCTCGCTGCTTGCCCCCAGGATCTGCTTCTCACTGTCACACACACACACACGCACGCACGCACACTGAGCAGGCCTCATTCCCTCCAGCAAGGGGTAACACAACACACACATGCAGAGCAATCAGACACCTACAAATGTGAGCATTCACCTTTTCCTCCCACAGAGCCACACATACATGCACGCATGTGTGCACACACACACCAATTGAACAGTCCTCACACGCACCAAGTACACACACTGAGCAATGCTCATTCTTTCCAGCAAGGAGCAATACAATCATACACGCACACAAGCACACACACAGTCAGCAGTCAGACGGGGAGAAAAACACACAAACATCTGGACTCGATGATCTTTCAAGGTCCCTTCCAGTTCTAGGAGATAGGCAATCTCTTACAGCACAACAGGGACCCACACACACACACAGAGCTATCCTTGTACCCTCCAGCAGGGGGCAACACCCACAACTATAGCAGGGCACAGCAGGGACGGACTCACACACACACACATTCAGCGCAGTCCTTTCCCCCCCAGCAGGGGGCAAAACGTGCACGCACAAACACACTTTTGGTGCCATGCTGCCAATCAGTGGTGCCCGATGACACCAAGTCCCCACGGAGCTCAGGTCGACCATACTAACGGGCAGTGCCTCCCCCAGGGACCACCCAGGCCGGACAGGCGAGAGCGTGGGAGAAAGGACGAGTCATTCTCCCCACTGCCCAGCCTCCTGAACTTCTGTAACACGACGCCGTGTACCTAGCCCACACATCAGGGTAGGCCTGCGCTGGGGGGGGGGGTTTCGGGATATCCCGCTTTTTTCGCGGAAGAGCAAACACGCTGGCTGTGTCTACATTGGTGCGATCTTGTGCAAAACCAGCTGCTTTTGCACCAAAACTTGCTGCCCAGCTACACTGGCGGGGAGTTCTTGTGCGAGAACACTGACGTTCTAATGTGTGAAATCAGGGCTTCTTGCACAAGAGCTACGATGCTCCTGCTCAGGAATAAGCCCTTTTGCACAACTGTTCTTGCACAAGAGGCCAGTGTAGACAGGCAACATGAATTTCTTGCGCAAGAAAGCCCGATGGTTAAAATGGCCATCGGAGCTTTCTTGCGCAAGAGAGCGTCTACACTGGCACGGGTGCTTTTGCGCAGAAGCACATCTCTTGCGCAAAAGCACATGCCAGTGTAGACGCTCTCTTGCGTCTGTCAGCAGCCCTGACCTCCTCGTTCCATGAGGAAGACGGGAGCTTCTGAAAGACGGGGGCTGCGTCTAGACTGGCAAGTTTTTTCAGCTGCTTTTGCGGAAAAACTTGCCAACTGTCTACACTGGCCACTTGAATTTCCACAAAAGCACTGACTTCCTACTGTCCGAAATCAGTGCTTCTTGCAGAAATACTGTGCTGCTCCCGTTCAGGCAAAAGTCCCTTTTGCGCAAAGGGGCCAGTGTAGACAGCTCCGATTTGTTTTGCGCAAAAAAGCCCTGATCACGAAAATGACCACTGGTGCTTTTTTTGCAGAAAAGCGCGTCTAGATTGGCACGGACGCTTTTCCGCAAAAAGTGCTTTTGCGGAAAATCCAAATGTTCCATTTTGGAAAAGTGCTTTTGCGGAAAAGCGTCCGTGCCAATCTAGACGCTCTTTTCCGCAAATGCTTTTAACGGAAAACTTTTCTGTTAAAAGCATTTGCAGAAAATCATGCCAGTCTAGACGTAGCCAGGGAGTTTCCAAAATTTGGCCCAGTGTAGATGGGCCAAATTTCGGAAAAGCCTCTTCTGAAAAAAAAATTGGAGAAGGCTAGAGCTAGCCTTACCCTGAGGTCTGTAGCCCTGGTAACAGTTCGAGCAAAGGTCTTGGTATCTGCTGGGAAATGAACCACGCGCCCATGACCCGTCATGGAGACACCAAAGTGCATGTCATGCGCCGAGTCCAGAACCCTTGGTAGGCAGGTGGGTTCTTGTTGAATGAGGGATTTTCCCTGGGTTGGCGTCCAGGTGCATGGAACCCCCAGCTAGGAATGCTCGTTGTGACATGGCTCGCCTGTGCAGAGCAGAGGGTTCTCTGTAGCGACTCTGCCCTGAAATGAATGTCTCGGGGAGATAATGGGAATGGAATTTATTTTATTTCTATTTCGTAAACACGTGCTGTATGAGGGGATGATTTTCTGGAAGGAAACGGAGCTTCCTTTGGGACTGATAATGTATTGACCTTGGTCTGTCCTTGTTTAGTCTTTGGCTAATGAAAATGAACTGAGTCTGGGGGTCTCTGCAGTCTCATCCGAAACCTAAGGCCTAATTAAAGGCCCATGCATTGAAAAATCCAAATGTTCCATTTCGGAAACGTCAAAACAAACATTTTTCATTTTTTTGGATTTTTTTCCCCACCACAACAATTTGCGGATTTCCACAGGCATTCTTGAAGGTTTGGGTCAACCCAAACACGCCAGTTTCAGGGCAAAACTCAAAAAGGTTCATTTGAAAAAATCCACCCAACGGTGGCTGTGGGCAATGTGAGGAGGGAGAAATTGTAGTCGGGAGACACTTTGGTCACAGCTGCCCACACAGAAGGAAGTTGTGTTCTGCACACTGCACACAACTGTTCAAGACAAAGAAATGTAGAAAATTAGTTCTCAGTATCATGCAGCCTCGTTATCCAGCAGCGGATCTGCACAAAGGAGGACGTGGGGTTCATATGCCCAATCAACACTCACAGCAAGAGTGACCCCACGTCCTAACCCCCTTGAATACGGAATGCACATGTGGTCGCCTCTTCTTGAAAAAGGTATCTGAGGGCACGTCTAGCCTGAGAGGATCTATCGGAAAAAGATACCCACAATGCAGAGCTCATTTTGCTTATCTTTTCCCAATACTTTTGTCAGAAGAAGCTTTTCTGAAATTTGGCCTTTCTATACTGAGCCAAATTTCAGAAAATGCCCCTCTTTTGAAAGCCCCCTTCTTCCTCGTGGAACAAGGAATACAGGGGCTTCAGAAAGAGAAGTGGGAGAGCAAACGTTCCCTGGATACGGTGGAGTTATCCCCAAACCCCCTTGCAGTCTAGCCATACCCTCAGAGTGGCAAACGGCTCAGAACAGTGCAGCAAAAAGACTGGTCACGGGACAGCTTCATTATGAGAAAAGACTGGGACTTTTTCAGCTTGGAAAAGAGACAACTATAGGGAAGACAATAGAGGGCTATAAAATCACGACTAGGGTGGGGAATCTAAGAATCATTTATTCTTTCTCATAACATAAGAACTGGGGGTCACCAAATGAAATTAATAGGCAGCAGGTTTAAAACAAACAGAAGGAAGTTTTTCTTCACACAGTTCACAGTCAGCCTGTGGAACTCCTCGCCAGAGGATAGTGTGAAGACCAGGACTTTAACAGGGTTCCAAAAAGAGCCAGATAAATCCGTGGAGGTTGGGTCCATCAATGGCTGTTAGCCATGAAGGATAGGAATGGTGTCCCTAGCCTCTGTTTGACAGGGCCTGGGAATGGATGACAGGTGAGGGCTCACTGGATGATTCCCTGCTCTGTTCCCTCCCTCTGGGGCACCTGACACTGGTCACTGTGGGCTGACAGGATGCTGGGCTGGGAGGACTTTGGGTCTGACCCAGTGTGGCTTTGTGAAATGCACATTGCCTGACACACCGAACCATTCCCAGGCTTCGTGTCAGCCAGGGCCCCTGGCGAAGCCACATGCAACCCCGCCGGAAGCTGCTGCACTTGAAAACAATGGAAGGAGGCTGAATTGCATGACGTTCCTCCAGGAGACTGCAGCGTTTTGCCCTGTGTCAAACCAGCAGTCTCCGGATGGCTCTTCTCAGCGCCCTCTTCACCTCCCTGTTGCGCAGGCTGTAGATGAGCGGGTTGGCCAGGGGGGTGAGGACGGTGTAGGAGACGGAGAACACTTTGCGCAGGGTGCGCAGGGTGCCGGTCCTTGGGAGCAGGATCACAGCGACGAGGGTCCCGTAGAACAGGGTCGCCACGGCCAGGTGGGAGGAGCAGGTGGAAAAGGCCTTCTGCCGCCCACTGACGGATGGGATCCTCAGGACGGCGGCGATGATACACGCGTAGGACCCCAGGGTTAACGCGAAGGGGGGCAGGGTGAACAAGGACAGCAGGGTGAAGGTCACAAGTTCCACCGCGCGGCTGTCCCCGCAGGAGCGTTCCATCACGGAGCTGAAGTCGCAGAAGAAATGGTCGATTTCGCCGGGGCTGCAGAATGCGAAGTGCGACATTAAGGAGACGATGAGCACGATGGCGGCGAAGCCGTTGAGCCAAGACCCTGCCACGAGGCAGAGGCAGATGCGGCCGCTCATGCGGGCGGCGTAGTGCAGCGGTTTGCAGATGGCTAAGTACCGGTCGTAGGACATCACGGCTAAGAGGCAACACTCTGAGCCCAGCAGGGAAGCAAAGAAGTAAAACTGCGCAATACAGCCCCGGACAGAGATGGTCCTGTCCCCTGTCAGTAGCCCGGCCAGCAGCCGGGGCAAGATGGCGGAGCTGTAGCAAGTCTCCAGGCAGGACAGGTTCCCCAGGAAGAAGTACATGGGGGTGTGCAGGTGCCGATCTGCCACCACTAACACAGCGATGAGGATGTTCCCAGCCATGGTCGCCAGGTAGATCACTAGGAACAGCAGGAAGAGATGGGTTTGCAGTTCGGGGAGATTCCCGAATGCCAGGAGGGTGAATTCCGTGATGGACGTTTGGTTTCCTGGCTCCGGGTTCGCCATGGGTTTAACTAGAGGGAACTGAACAAATTCGAAATCAGAGCCATACACTTGCCTTCTGCAACGGCGCTTAAATTCCATTCGGATCTGCACACCCGCCAGCCCATGTGGAGTCAAGACACTTTCCAGGACAACCCAGGGAGGTGCCCGGGGTCGTCCACCCTCTCCCTCGCAGGGCCTAGAAGGAGTCCGTCGATCACTGCACTCACAAACCGCACCACAGAAGCTCGCCATCGCTAACGCGGATCAGGGTCGACTGCAGTGTTTTGTAAAGTCGGAGCCAATTCGCCACGTTGTGTCATGCAAAGCCCAGAAACTCCCCCACATACGGGCATGTTTTGGGCTGACATTCTGGAGAGAAAACGTTTCAGATTTTTTGAGTCCAAATGATGGTTGGTTTTCAATTCAATTGTTAAAAGGTGACCCCTCCCCCCCAAAATACAACCTTGACACTAGCACACAAGGGATCATGTCAGGTCAAGGGAAACATTTTGCATGCCACAAAACGTTTGCTGGGATTCCTGTTCCTGGTTGGCCGGCCGGCGGAAAACCGGATGTTCACACAGCTCGGTACAGATCTTGTCTGCCTGCAGAGCTGTGTTCCCTCCTGATGACAGAGCCCCGCTGTGGGGGCAGGAGAGTTGAAGGGAATTGGTGATGCTGTGTGATGAGCCAGTCGCTCCTGGCCTCAGTTTCCCCTGTGTGAAATGGGTGCAATGGCCCGGAAACGTTGGGCCCTTAACACCACAGAGAGCCACAGTGTGTAAGGCCAGCGGGGGTCACCAGATCCCCTGGTCTCACCTCCCATGTGGGACAGGCCAGCCACAAGGCCTAGGGCCCACCCCTAAACCCAAGGATGGACACGGGGCCAAACTAAGGCGGCCCACAGGAGTCTGGACCCGAGACCCCCCATGGCAGGGAAGTGATGTGGTGAGAGGCACCTATCGGACCCTGGCACGGGACTTGCATCCCGACACTGCAGTGGAAGGCGAGCTCCTTAGAGGCAAAATTCCTTCCTGACCCCGCATCTGGTGACCAGTGAGACCAGGCGCATGTGAGCAAGACGCAGCCAGGCACCTCCCCACCATAGCTGCTTTCCCATCTCCAGCCACAGCTGTCCTGGCGCTTCAAAGGAGATGGGAAACCCCTTCCTGGCCCCTGACGCTGGTTAAGGAAACCCAGGAGCATGAGCATTTGGGAACAGATGAGGCAGCCCAGCAGTGAGCCACCGCAGACCTCAGGCAGCAGGACTGGCTGCAAGGGGTGCAGCTCGTTAGGGGGTGTCCCGAGCCAGCCCGGAGACACAAGCTGAGCACGGTGAGCGGCAGACCCAGGCCTGAAACCCACGTTTTCTGGGTCCCGGACCCCCCGCCCACCCGCTCTCTCACACCAGAAGTGCGAGGCCACGCACGGCTTTCTATGGGCGCACAGGAAGGCCGCCAACCCCACTCTTCCTGTCCCCCTCCCCAGGGGTTGTAAGTGCCCCCGAGTTCTATCAGCTCCCAGGGACTTTGGCCCCTGCCCTCATATGAAGGGCCCTCTCCTGTTCCTGAAGGCGTAGCGCTCTCCCACCCACCCGCTCTCTCACACCAGAAGTGCGAGGCCACGCACGGCTTTCTATGGGCGCACAGGAAGGCCGCCAACCCCACTCTTCCTGTCCCCCTCCCCAGGGGTTGTAAGTGCCCCCGAGTTCTATCAGCTCCCAGGGACTTTGGCCCCTGCCCTCATATGAAGGGCCCTCTCCTGTTCCTGAAGGCGTAGCGCTCTCCCAAATTCCAGCCCAGCCATAGGAAGGGCTGGAGCATCCTCTGCCCCCGCAAGAACTCCCGCCACCTCCAACGTGGCCGGTACTGACTCCAGGGAACCCAGAATGTCCTGGGAACGGCTGCACAGAATCAATGGAGGGAGCCAGCACGTCATGCCTAGGTGCCCACCCGAGGGCGAAATGCCCTGCCGTGGCCAAGGGGGCCGGGACACGAGGCAGCTGGAGTCTGTAAACCGGATGCAGAATGCGAGGGTACCTCTCAGGCGAGGACATGGCGCGTCTGGGTCTCAGCTGTGCTCTCTTCACGGGGAGTTCAGGCACCGGAGATGGGTCCTTCTCTCTGTTTCTCCATGTGTGCCCAGCCTGCCTGGACAAGGCCTGGCCGTTTCCACACAGGGCGCTGGCTTCACCCCCATGCCGGGGGCTTTTTGTCTTCTACCTGTTCCCAGAAAGTCAGCATCTGCCCTGTGCCGCTCCTCACCACTGAGGGGAAAACACGAGTCCCCCGGGCCCCTCTGCTGATTGGCTCGGCAAATTAACAAGAAGGGAAAGTTAACGGCACCTTTGTTTTAGGCCCGTACGGACAATGGTGCTACCGAGAGTCAAGCTTCGAACCTGAGTGGGAAATGGATGGAGAAAGGAGAGCGACTTAGCAGAGAGGAAATGTTTGTCTCGCCCAGCTACATTAGACATAGAAATGAAACTGCTAGGCAAGGTCACTCTTCTCGCTACACCTCAAAGGGGAGGGTGCATTTCCCAGTTGGGACACTCATGTTCACAAAGAAATTCAGGAAAGATACAGCCAAGCAATGCGATCACACAAGGAGAAAATACAGCTGAAGAAATGTTGCAACTTGGAGTAACTTAGAATTCAGGGGAAAAGGACAAAAACATTAAGAATTACTCCTTTGTTTTCTAGCTAGCTAGCTATCCCCACACACACCCTCTATCTATCCCCATACACCTCTTCTATCTATCTATCTATCTATCTATCTATCTATCTATCTATCTATCTATCTATCTATCTATCTATCTATCTATCTATCTATCTATCTATCTATCTATCTATCTATCTATCTATCTATCTATCTATCTATCTATCTATCTATCTATCTATCTATCTATCTATCTATCTATCTATCTATCTATCTATCTATCTATCTATCTATCTATCTATCTATCTATCTATCTATCTATCTATCTATCTATCTATCTATCTATCTATCTATCTATCTATCTATCTATCTATCTATCTATCTATCTATCTATCTATCTATCTATCTATCTATCTATCTATCTATCTATCTATCTATCTATCTATCTATCTATCTATCTATCTATCTATCTATCTATCTATCTATCTATCTATCTATCTATCTATCTATCTATCTATCTATCTATCTATCTATCTATCTATCTATCTATCTATCTATCTATCTATCTATCTATCTATCTATCTATCTATCTATCTATCTATCTATCTATCTATCTATCTATCTATCTATCTATCTATCTATCTATCTATCTATCTATCTATCTATCTATCTATCTATCTATCTATCTATCTATCTATCTATCTATCTATCTATCTATCTATCTATCTATCTATCTATCTATCTATCTATCTATCTATCTATCTATCTATCTATCTATCTATCTATCTATCTATCTATCTATCTATCTATCTATCTATCTATCTATCTATCTATCTATCTATCTATCTATCTATCTATCTATCTATCTATCTATCTATCTATCTATCTATCTATCTATCTATCTATCTATCTATCTATCTATCTATCTATCTATCTATCTATCTATCTATCTATCTATCTATCTATCTATCTATCTATCTATCTATCTATCTATCTATCTATCTATCTATCTATCTATCTATCTATCTATCTATCTATCTATCTATCTATCTATCTATCTATCTATCTATCTATCTATCTATCTATCTATCTATCTATCTATCTATCTATCTATCTATCTATCTATCTATCTATCTATCTATCTATCTATCTATCTATCTATCTATCTATCTATCTATCTATCTATCTATCTATCTATCTATCTATCTATCTATCTATCTATCTATCTATCTATCTATCTATCTATCTATCTATCTATCTATCTATCTATCTATCTATCTATCTATCTATCTATCTATCTATCTATCTATCTATCTATCTATCTATCTATCTATCTATCTATCTATCTATCTATCTATCTATCTATCTATCTATCTATCTATCTATCTATCTATCTATCTATCTATCTATCTATCTATCTATCTATCTATCTATCTATCTATCTATCTATCTATCTATCTATCTATCTATCTATCTATCTATCCATCCCCACACATACCCTCTATCTATCCCCATACACCTCTTCTGTCTGTCTGTCTGTCTATCACACACACACACATACACACATACATACTCCCCAACACCACGGTATCTGAGCTCTCCCAGCACTTTACAACTGAGAAACAGTGGAAGCCCCAGAAAGGTGTCATGCCCAGGAGAAGTCCATGCAATGGGTGATTAAAGAAAAGGACCCAGGAGTCCTGAAATGTAGCCCCTGTGTTGTAACCCACCAGACCCTCGTCCCCTCCAAGAGCCCAGGATAAAACCCAAGAGACTTGGCTCCATATCCCTCATGTTCCCTGGATCTCCCCTGTCATTCTAAAAACAGGGCAGGAACTGATGCCTGTTCGTTCTCTCAGTTCTGCGAACATGCACGGGCAATACCCTAAGCATGAGTACCATGCTCCCCTTTACTTCCAAGAGTTGTGAGATTCGGGCCTTAACTGCCAAGTTCTACATTCTCTTTGGCTGCCCTGCTAGAAACGGGGAGTAAATAAGTCCTTGGTGCAGCTTCTTAGCGAGGATTATCCAGAAAGATGCCTGCCCCTTTGCAGCCGTGAAACCACAATTTCCACTACACGTTCTCCTTCCAATTGGTCATGTCCAGTTCACGTTCTGGAGTTCATGCTCGGCGGAGAGAGAACATGTCCAGAACTATTTAGAAAAGCTAAACAGACACAAATCCATGGGTCCAGATTTAATTCAGCCGAAGGTGCTGAGGGAGTTCGCAAACATCATTGCAGAGCCTTTGGTCATTATCTTTGAAAAGTCATGGAGATCGGGAGAAATCCCGGATGATTGGAAAAAGGCAAATGCAGTGCCCATCTTTAAAAAAGGCAAGAAGGACAATCCAGGGAACTGTA